GGCAGCTAGGGGGCATAGTCTCAGTGGTTCCACCAGGCTCTATTGGACCAGCAAACCTGGTCCCTTTTTTTTCTCCAAATGATTTTGAGTTTTGTTCCACATTGTTCTCCCTCTCTATCCAGGATCTCTTACACAGATCCCCTTCCAAGTGGTTGACAGTGATAGCTGGGCACCATCTAGTTCTTCTGGTCTCATAGTCATATAGACTGCAGACTGGATGGTGTACCAGTTGCTAGGACTAATTGTTTCCATGAATTTTTGGTTTTCTTCATTCTGTGCTCTGGACAAGGAGAGACCTGTTGTTGCATCTAGATGGCAGCTTGCAACCTTTTAAGATCCCAGTCACTACTCGCCAAAGTAGGAGGTCGAACAATGTTTTGTGTAGTATGTTATGCCAGTTGAGCTTGATGTCCCCTGTGACTATGGTCCTGACAACAGGTTCAACTACTCAGTCCCTCTGGATAGCTGGCTGTGACTAAGCAATGACTACAACCTTGCCCCTAGCCAGCTCAGCTCTACTATACACCTGGGAATTCAGATCATACACATAAACTTATAGGACCTTTGTCTGCCAACCCTATACATGTTCTTGGGTACACTCCCCGCTTCATAGACATACCTACTAGTTCAGCCTGTCCACCCATCTATCCACCTGTATACCCATGTTTGCCTTCACTGGCAACTCAGTATTGTATGTGCAAAAGGGTTCATGTTTGTTGTCTGTACCTCCCATGTACCTCTCTCTTTCTCTTCCTCAATGCCAATGCCACTATATTGATCACTCACATTTGGTATATTGCCCTTCTCTTCACCCACAAATAAATACTTATCTCTATCTATCTAACAATGTTCCCTCCCCTCCCCTCACACCCCTGATAATCAACAAAGAAAATTTCCTTCCACAGATAAACTTTTCCTTGATTTTTATAATAACGGACTAATACAGTATTTGTCCTTTTGTGATTGACTTATTTCACTCAGCATAATATCCTCCAAGTTCATCCATGTTATGCAATGTTTTGCAGATTCTACGTTATTCTTTAGCGTTGCATAGCATTCCGTTGTGTGTATGTACCATAGTTTGGTTATCCATTTCTCAGCTGATGGACACCTAGGTTGTTTCCATCTTTTTGCAATTGTAAATAGTGCTGCAATGAACATGGGTGTACATACATCTGTTCTTGTCCTGGCTCTCACTTCTTTAGGATATATACCTAGTAATGGAATGGCTGGGTCAAATGGTATTTCTAATTCCAACTTTTGAAGGAATCGCCATACTACTTCCCACAATGGTTGTACCGTTTTACAGTCCCACCAGCAGTGTATGAGAGTCCCAGTCTCTCCACAACCTCGTCAGCATTTGTTATTTTCTGTCTTGTTGAACTTTGCTACTAGTGCTTTATCCAGGGGTTCTTTTATCTAAGACCTTGTACTTTTCTTTAGAGTTTCACTTGGGTCTGTTTTTATGTATGTTCCATTTCTTCCTTCACCTTGTTCATATTTTTTCTATTCTTGAGCGTATTTTTAAGAGTTGTAGGAGCTATTTTAAAGGTCTTCTCTACTCATTCCACCACCTCTGTCATTTCTGGGGCTGCTGCTCTGGATTGGTATGTCTCCGGCAGTGGTGTCTGTTTTCCTTCCTGGCATGCATGCCCTTTTAATTTCTGACTGAATGTCAACATACTAGATTTTACTTTGGCGAGTGTGGGATATTTCTGTAGTCCTTTAAAGAGACTGGACTTAACTTTTAGCAGGCAACTTAGGATCAGTTTGAGCCTTCTGGGGGTTGCTTTTGCAGTTTTAGTACCTTTTATTTAGGGCTAATTTAACCCACTGCTAAGATGCTGCCCTCCTAGGACTCTGTCCTCTGGCTGACGGAAGCAGAGTACTCGCAGCCCTACCGCTTTCAGGTGGTTCTTCCCCATGATTTATGGAGTTTGACCCCATGCGAACCCAGATCAGCAGTTGGCCAAGTATTTGAGGGACTTTCTGCAGCTCTCCAGAGCTCTATGTGCACGCCCCGCGGACTGGAACTCTGCCCCCAGAGTCTAGCCAGTCCCTGCTTCCTCAGCTCAGTGAGGTCCCTGTATGAGTCGTCCTGTGATTGTAAGCTTCCTAATACCGCTCTAACAGAGAGACCACCACTGGTTCGTTTTGACAAAGATACATTTATTTTCTGGATCCACTCACCACTCTCTCAGCAGCTGGCAGGGCCGCACTGGGCAGATGAAGAAGCTGAGTCCAAGGTGAGCCTGCCCCCAACGCAGCCACACGACTCTGTACCACTGTGAAGGACATGGCTGGGCACCAGCAGCTGAGGGGCTGGGTGGGGGGCTCTCCAAGGGCGAAGGCCCTACCTGTGCACTGCCCGACACTGGCTGCCCACATGGGTCTCGGGCCACTCTTGTCCTCTTGAGGACCCTGCTCCCATACCCCGGGGCCTCCGTTTCTCTTGCGTCTGAATCATCCCTCGAGCAAAGGAATATGCCATCCTTTCTGTTGTCTGGAAAACACAAACAGAAAGCAAAACAAGCAAACACCCCGACTTCCCCCACCCCACTCCTGCTCCTTTCTCAGCATCAAACTCTCAGGGCTGCCAGGAGCTGCCTACCCAACCCCACATTCTCTCAAATCGACTGGGCTCTAGTCAAGGTCACTGCCACACTGGGTCCTCTGGTCTCCTTCCTCCTCTTCCCCCAGTTGCTGAAGTCCGTGTGTCTGTCTGCTCACTCACTGGGGTCTCACGCAGGCTCCTGACTGTACTAGCAGCACCTCCACATTCAAAATATATGGATTCCACACCCAGTGCCCTCCCTACCCTCCAGTATCCCTTGGGCATCTAGACCCACCTGCCCAGAACTGAGCCCTCAGCCATTCCTACCACCTCCCACTACCTAGCTTGCGTCCCACCTGCACCAGGCCATTGGGAATCCTGAGGTGCTGCTATGCATACTTTAGAAGCTGGGCCTTCTCACCCTCTGCCCTGGTAAAACCTGGTCCTGTCCCTGTCGCCACCACCTCGGCCCAGTCCCTGCAGAGCTAGTCCCTCTCTTGCCCCTCCCCTTGGAGAAAAGCACCTTGCAAAGGCAGTTTATTCTGATGCGGGAGCAGTGGGAGCCATGGAGTGTTCTAGGAAGTGAGCAAGAACTAGATGACAGACAGGGGGCCTCTCTCAGTGTGTTTCCTGGCACCTCAAGCTGGGATTTCTTTTTTCATTTTAAATAATACTTTGTACCTAATTTATACTTACTATTATTCATCTTTTGTATTATTCTATTATCAGCAACCTCTCCCCCAAAGCACAGATCAGCACCTGCCTCCAAGGCCGTGTGCTGTGGCCCTGACAACCCCTGGTGGCTTCCACCCCCCGACCACCCACACCTGCCTCACCTCACAGTTGGCTCCAACGTCCCCTTCTCAGCAAGACCTTTCCTGAGCAGCCAGTCTAAATGTCAGCTGCTCCGACGTCCCTTCCCCACCTGCTGTTATTTTCCTTCATAGTACCTCCACTGGTGAGCACGCCATCGCACAGTGTCCATCCACCCTTGAATGTACACTCTGCTCCTGCTCATGCACACGCCAAACCCACTAAAGCATGTGATTCTCCCTCAAATGCACACGCCACACCCAATAACGGATACACCACTCATTAGTGGACACAGTGACCTCAGTGCACACACCACACCCCTCTACTGCACACACCACATCCACTAATGGACACACCACTGATTAATGGGCACAGTGACCTCAATGCACACACCACATCCCAAATGGACACATCACTCATTAACAGACTCAGTGACCTCAATGCACACACTGCACCCTCTAGTGCACATGCCACATCCCCAATGGACACATCACTCATTAACGGACAACAGTGACCTCAATGCATACGTGGCACCCTCTATTGCACACGCCACAACCACTAATGCACATGCTATACTCACTAATGGACACACCAACCCTCTAATGCACACAGTGCACCCCCTAATGCACATATCACGGTCACCAATGTGCACATTGCACCCTGTAACATACACGAGTCACCAGTGGCCAAGCCACATCCTGTAATACACACATCACAGTCACCAGTACGCATGCCAAACCCCGTAACACACGTTACAGTCACCAATGCACTCACCACACCAGCAATACCTCGTTTGTTGCCATTCCCCCCAATGCACCATCCCAGCACCTAGGACCCACCTGGAAGGGTGGTGGTCTGGCCAGCAGGAACCCTAAGTTGTGGCCTGGGGTGATCTGGGGTGGAGATGCCCCATGGTATGGGGGCCCTGGGGGCCATGAGAGGCTGTGACCATTCCTGCACCCCTTCCTCCCTGGGACCAATGCACCCCCACACCCACCAGAAAGCAACCAGACGAGGTCTTCTGCCATACTAATGTATTCCATCTTTCAAAAAGAAAGACATGATTTTAATATTACTTAACAATATGTTAAAACAGTAGCCGGCAGGCCTCCATGTTAATACAATTGTATCCTCTAACAGACGGGAGGACGCGTGAGTACTGGGTGGACTGTGTCTTCACTTTCTCATTCTGCAGGGATCTTACACAAGCTGGCTACAAGTCGGGGGGTCAAACACAAATAGCGGAACGTGTACACTCTCAAACAGGACGTTGTGGAGGCGACGGAAGACCGTCTGCCCTGGCACCCCGTGAGCGGTGGGGACGCGGGGCGCGAGCGTGAGTGACAGCCGGCCCCACGGGGACCGGGTGACAGGACGGCGAGATGCAGGGGCAATGGAGCCATGGGGACGGTCATGCCCACAGGGGGCCTGGCCAGGCCCACAAGGCCATCACGTGTCCGAGGCCGAGGCGGCTGGAGGAACTGGCGGAAGCTACGGTCACAGTCGTACTCACAGACTACAGCACACCAGCTACAGACTCAGGAGCCGCCGCCCCAGCGCCAGGGCCGGCGAGCGGTCGGTGCGCCAGGGGCTCGGCCAGGCTCACATCCGTGCCCGCTCTGGCAGTCCTCATTCAGTGGGCAGCAAACGTGGCTTTTTTCAAGCTAAAATTGGACCAGTTGATGGACAGTCTTTGCCGAGTCTGTCGTGCGGAATCCAGGCAGAATCTGTGAAGACAAAAAAGCACGCGGTCATGGGAGGAAATGGCCACGCCCACTGCGCGGTGGGAGGCCTGGCCTGCTCGTGTTCTCACTGGAGAGCCCACGGGGCTGGGAAGGGGCCCTCCAACACCTGCCACTGCTTCAGCTGCACACACCCTGTGGGAGGGGGCTCCCATCAGGGCACGTGCTGGCCAAGTGCTGTGGGTGCCTGTGCAGTGTCCCTGCCAAGGAGGCCCAGTCCCCACCCTGTTCTTCAGGGAAGGTGAGGTTCTGAGCTGAAAGCCCCGTGCCCGAGGTCACGGAGAGGAAGTTAGTGCTGGAACCAGAACTCCGGCACCCTCCCCGCCACTGCTCAGCAACGAGAAGGCCGAGTTTCCCAACAGAACCCTGGACGCCGCCGTGTCCTCGCCACTACTGGCTGCCACACGAGGCAGTGGGGACGGGCAGCAGCAGAACGGAGCCCCAGACCCACGCCGCCCAGCGGCACAGCGCCTTTCTTCCCTGACGCTGCAGCCTGTCGGACACAGGTGGCCACTGGGCGGCCCCAGAGGAGTCAGGCTACTGGAGCGTGGAGGGTGCGTGCCAGGGCCACCACAGGAAAGGATGGGTGTCAGGCAAGGTCAGGATGAGCCCAGGCCGGGCCAGCCACAGGCCACCTGGGGGCCATTGGGGCCCAGCGCTGTGCACCAGGGTGCACAAGCTTGCTTCTCGTCTCCGTCTGTTTAAGGACGCTCACACTCCCAGCCTGAAGGCTGTGGGAAGCAGGCAGTTCCAGGCGTGGCTCATACGTGCAGGCACTGACCAGAGGTCTCAGCCCACCCCCCCTGGTGCAAGGCCTCACGCTGGTGTGATCGATCTGAAGTGTGACCCCTATGTGCCTGCCTGGCCCCCACGCAGCATGACCCAGAAACAACTCGCTCCTCAGAGAGGCATGCAGATGACTATCTGGCTGCCAGCTTCTGGGCCACTCCCTTCACACCCCTGCCTCTCAGGCAATGGTGACGACTCTCTGTCTAGCCAAGGAAGGGCCCCTTCCCTCACAGCCTGTATCTGGTATGACTCCCCGGTTTTTGCCATTCCATTTCCCCAAGTGTGGCTGTCACACCGAGTGGATGGTATCATCACTGCCCCGGCAGGTGGAACTGAGGGGTGCTCCCATTCAACCCGAGTGGAAGCCGAGCACCTCAGTGCCCCACACCAGGCAGGGTGCTTCCACAGTCACCCCTGATGGGCAGCACCCTGGAAGCCTCCACACACGGGTGCGTCACGTCCCTGCTGAAAGGCTCAGCCAGCGGGGATCCTGGTTTACACCACAGCAGAGCTGCCCGCAGTCGCTCCAGCACAGAGCAGAAACCCAGGCTTCCTCACGGGCCCCAGGGCTCGTGTGTACCCAGGTGACCGACGACAGTGCCACACTGTAGCGTCCGCCTCGGGTGAGGACGCCGAACATGGTGCCCCTCCCAGGCTCCTCCTGAGCCCTGTGAACACACCGAGCAGCAGCTGGCCTGCAAGTTCAATAACCGACTCCCACTGTCTGCGGCTGCTCTTTTCACTCAATAACGGGAGACCCCTTCTCCACAAAGCAGGAGTGTGTCTGTCCTCCTCCTTTCGCTCAGTGCGGGCATGTGTGTTGATGCCGTCTCAGCAACCCCAAACGGTGCATCTGTTCTGTTCCCGATGGCAAGCTGCATGGGCCTGGTCCGGGACTCCCATGCACGGAGGAACGCCACTGTGTGTCGTGCTGTTCTGTCTCCTGGAGGGTAACTGCAGGGGTCTTTCCTGCCCACGCCCACAGACACACCATCTACCTCTGCCAGGTTCTGCCAAACTCGAGCTGAAATGGTTCTCACCAATCTGTGCAGCCAGGAGCAGCGACTCTGACCTTTGCTGCTCTGGGCCCACACTGGTCGAGTATGTCCTGAGAATTCCTGTCAGTGGCTTTTGGTCTGTCTTTTGCTCACTGGCCTGTAACATGTCTTTCTCTTTATTGACTCTAATCCTTCGCTGGGCTCCCATACAAGCCCACGCAGCACTTCTCTGCAACGCGTGCGGTCACCAAGAACCAGAGTCGGCAGCAACCAGTAACAGCCTGTTACGCACCGTAGACACTTGCTTTAAAGTCAATCCTTAATATACTATAACTTATTGGTCTTTTATTTTCTGATTGATGTTTTAAAAAACTTTCCCCTTCCCTGAGGTCAGAAATATCCATGTGTATTTTCTTCCAAACAAAAATGTGTGCTTTTGTGACTTAAATCCTGTGGGGTGCAATGATTTCTTTAATACGGCCCTTCTACCTATGGTCAGGGACTCAGACACAGATAGGGCGGGTCTATGCAAATAAGGTGCGTGGAGCCCTGGGAGGGCTGGTTAGTTCTGCTATCCTGCGAGGCCAATCCCAGAGGCTAACAGAGACCGCAGTACATCAGGAAGAGCAGGTGTGGAACGCACGGGATCCCTGCCTGAGAGCCTCCTGGGCCCTGTGGGCAGCAGCCCCAGTCTGCGCAGTGGGAGAGCTGTGGGCTGTCAGACTGGCAACTTCCCCAGGGAGCCGGGTGCCCTAGGCGACCGGCAGCAGCACTGCAGAGCTTTTTAACGTGCGCCCCAGCAAGGCGGAGGCCAGGCCGAGGGCCGAGGGCCGAGGGCCGAGGGACGAGAGAGAGCTGCCTGTAGGCGTGGCCGGGAGCAGCTGTCCCGCTGGACGCAGCCGCAGCCTGGACTGCTTCTGTTACTGACAAACTAATCTAGATCCTGACTGTCAGCTGTCGCTCCCTAATAGGCCCCATCATCCCGAGTACGGCCTGGGAGCGGTGGCCACTGCATGCATCATGGGGCCCAGCAGGGAATAGAGAGTGCCGTGGGGGACAGCTGGGGCCAGAGCTGGTTGGAAGGTTGGAGGCTGCAGGCTGAGGGACGCCTGGCTTCCTCCCCCCAGCCGTCGGCTCTGAGGTGCTGCTGATCTGAGTCTCCTCTTGCCTGAAGGTCTGACGCTATGCCGACTTTGCAACCTGGAACCGACCTCTGAATACAACGCGATACAGAGCCCCAAGGCCAGTTTTCAAACACAGACAGCAAGTCGCACAGCTCCGTTTATGAAACAAGCCTCACTCCTGGGGACCTGCTGGCCCACCTGGTCAGGGTCAGGACTAGGGTGCTTCCAGACCGTGCCATCTGTCCACTAGCTGCCCATCTCTGCACGAGTATCCCAATATTTTTAACAGCTTGACTTCATAAACCTTTACAAAGGGTACAATACTACCTGCTGTGGGGCAGCGAATGACTTGCTATTGCTTTTCTAGTTATAGGCTTTGTACCTCCTACCAGATTACTGGGTGGGACCACACAAATCAGGTGTGGACAACTCTAAGTGAGGACTTGTTGGTTCTGCTATGCTGCTGGGCTTGAAAGGAGCCCTCCTAGAGGCAGAGGAGGGGACCCCACTGCCATCAGGAGGAAAGAGCTGGAGTGGAGCATGGCCTTGGACCTGAGATCCCTGTGCTGCGCCTCCTTGGCAGACAGTGGCAGTGGAACCAAGAGGCATGAGACGGTGGCGGCCTTACCGGCCCAAGGAGGAAGCAAGCTGAGTGTCTCTGGGGAGGAGGCTTGCTGGCAGAGTGGGGTGCGTGCAGGCGTACCTATTGGCAGAGCTGTAACAGCTTTGGAACACTTGCCCAAGCAGGGCAGAGGCCAGGCTCAGAGGCCAAGGACCAGAGATGCGAGCCTGAAGGCACAGCAGAGGGGAGACTGTCCCTGATGCGAGAACTGTATGCTGAGAGTGTTGCTGAACCTGCGTTGTAGCCTGTTACCTCCTCATAAAGCCCATAATTGTGAGGATTGTCTGTGAGTTCTATGTGGCCGTTCCAA